TCTCTCTCATCGATGTTTCTAACTCTCTGTCCCTCTCTCTTCTCTGTAAAAAATCAATAAAATATATTAAAAAAAATAATAAAAGAATCTGGTACATGACTGCTTGTTATGGCACTTTGTATTTATAGTCAGTGAACTTCCTAGCAGGGACAGCCTTAAGGAAGTAGAGCTGTGAGTCTCAACTGGGAAGTTGTAGCCACTGCAGGGCTAGCCATTTAGACCAGGGGTTTGAATATAACGATTTTTTTTGGTCCCCTTGTTCTGTTCCCAGAAAGTGTACCATGTAATGGATTTGCATTTATCTGAGAGGAGCCAGATCACGGATGATTTAGTTATTGACCCACAGAAGATAAAGATTTTGGGGTGGGGTATATAGAAGGGAAGATTTAAAAGTAACTAAACTAGAAAATGTTTTACATGAAGTAAGGTCACTTTGGATTTTGGGGGGAGCCTCTTTGCAGTCATCAAATGTATTGATGGTATTTTTAATGCTGGGAGGTGGGCTTGGGCCATTTGCTTCAATACCCGGACACCAGTTTCTACCCTGAATGATTGGAGCTTTCAGCAGGCTTTTATACACCTGTAGTTTATTCATAGAAGTATAATTAATCGGAATGTCCTGAACTATAGGCTCGGTTGCTCTGTAGTGCAGCTAAGTCATACAAGTGCTTGACAAATGTTACTCCTGATGGCAATCATCCAAGTATCGTTGGCGCTGCATCTGCACTTACTTCCAGCACTGCTGCTCAGGTTGTTCCTTTGGTGATATGATTTACAGCTCTAATAAAAAAGGTCTTGGGTTGCTCAGACTTTTGATTTCTCTAGTGATTTTCTGGTTTGTTGTTGTTATTATTTACCATCTATGGTTTCTTTTATTGAATTTAAGAATTTAAATGTGTCTGTGTATTATATTATTAATGAAGTTCTTAGTCCAAAATGGAACTTGACACATTCAGAAAATCTCAGACAAGTTTTTTTTATTTTTGAATCCTCACCTGAGGATATTTTTTCATTGCTTTTTAGCGAGTGTGGAAGAGAGAGGGAAAGACAGAGCAATGTTGATGTGAGAGAAATACATCGATTGGTTGCCTCTTGCACAAGCCTTGACCAGGACCTGGGCTGGGGAGGAGCCTGCAACTGAAGTATGAGACCTTGACCTGAATTGAACCTGGGACCCTTCAGTCCACAAGTTGACACTCAATCCACTGAGCCAAACTAGCCAGGACAGAAAAGATATTTTGAGGAAAGGCTTCTAGAATACAGAAATTCAGAAGAGCACATTCGAGTAGGTTTTTCCTATTTATAGAGTCATGGGAAGTGACCTATGATGTGTGCAAGTACTTGTGGGTAATGTAACATCACACCTTTCAGTTCCCAGGTCAACCGTTAAAAATCATTAAACATATACAGGTGTGATTATTTGTAACGTGATGAGTTGATGTATCATTTAATGGTTTTGGATACACTTACCTTGTGATTCAGAATTATGTGGAAGAAGTCGTTATTGCTCAACTAAGATATAAAGGCTTTTCCTATTGATTTAGCATCATTGGGTACACCTGGCACTTTCCTACGTTAGCTAAATTAATGAATGTCTCAAAAGTTATACCTAGCCGAAACCGGTTTGGCTCAGTGGATAAGAGCGTCAGCCTGCGGACTGAAAGGTCTCGGGTTCGATTCTGGTGAAGGGCATGTACATTGATTGCGGGCACATCCCCAGTAGGGGGTGTGCAAGAGGTAGCTGATTGATGATTCTCTCTCATCGATGTTTCTAACTCTCTATCCCTCTCTCTTTCTCTCGGTAAAAAATCAATAAAATATATGTATATTTTAAAAGTTATACCTAAGGGAGTAACTGTCTCAAACCTTCTTGCTGAATACCAGGGGGTCTTAAAATGCTTTGTCAGGCATACTTTCTTCATGCAATGTGTTCTTTACAATTTCCTTAGGTCAGATTAATTAGCTTCTGTTTAAAGTAAGGGGTCTTGATATGAGCCCTTATTTTGTTTTTAAATGTGTTCTAAAGAATGCTTTACCTGACACCTGCAGTATAAAGTTTAAAAATATGCATTTTTATGTTGCTTCCAGCAAATTAAATAACTGCATTCTTAGTCATTTGTCATTTATGAAAGTAATGCTTGTGCAAATACATTTTTTTGTTTTATTTTTTAAACATTGTTGGAAAAAATAATTATAAAATATATTGTAAAACCTTTTTTTGGTGCTGTGTATTTTAATGACATCAGTAAGTGTACTTAAGATTGGTCCTGTGGTTTACAAACCTGCTGGAAGGAAGCCTTAAAACCAAAGGAGGTCCGAGAGGACAGAGTGAGTTTGGAAAACTATGTGAACTGAACAGAGGCCGGCGCATGTGAGTGATCGGTCCTGCTTCTTCCTCTGGCTTTGCTCTGGCCTGGCGGGAGGAGCTGGCGGCGCTGTGGCCGTGAAAGGGAGCTGCCAACCTTCGAGGAAGACGGAAAGGGATGAATGGTCGAGTCCAGGCAGAAACCGGAGGACAAGGGGCTCAGCCTCCCTGGACCACCGAGTAGGGATTCGGGGAGAGCGGGTCAGGGCAGACACGGAAACGGTGGTGCAGAGTCCCCCAGAGCAGTGGCCAGACACTCCCTCCACCTCTGACCCGTGGGGAGCACGTCGCTGACCTGCCTCACAGCTGTATCAGGCCCGTTTCTGTTCCCATTGCTCAGATCGCAGGCGGGGCTGTGGGTGGGGAGACGGCCCAGGCGGCCAGTGGGCTCAGACTTGACCCTGTGCAGCCGGGTCCTGGCTGAGAAGGAATTCGGAGCCAAGAGCCCCTTGCAGGAGTGTTCCCTAGGGAAGCCACAGGATGGGAGTGAGCTACTAGAGAAATGGCCGCGGGAACTAGAGCGGACGAGGAAGAAGGGCCCTGGCCGCTGAGGAGAAGGGAGCAAGACACGCCCTGGGGGAGGGACGGGCAAGGCCAGGCTGCTCCCAGAGAGCAGCACTGGTCCTGTCCTGAGGGTGTCTCTGCGCCCTCCGGGGAGGGTCCCCGAGATGCATCAGCTCCCAGGTGTGTCTTTCAGGCCCTTCCTGGGCAGCTGGTCCGGGCAGCCATGGGCTTGCTTGTCTGCTTTGGCTGTTTCTGGGTCTGGATGTATCTGATGCGGTTAGAACCTCTGTCCTGGGGGCTTCATGCCGAAGAGCTATTCTCCAGCCCCTGTTTCTTCCCGCAGAGGGGCTTAATCACAGGACTAGCAACATGCCAGGGGAGAGGCGAGGAGGGGAGGGTCCAAACCGCAGGACCAGCCATGTGAAAGGTCAGGGGTCTCATTTATAGATATAAAGAACATTGTAAACTGTTGAACAAAAATAGAGGCAAAGAAGCATCAAACAGACTGTCAAACTATAGCGGGAAGGTAGGGAAGGATTGAGGGGAGTAAGACATCAACCGAAGGACTTGTATACATGCACATAAGCTCAACAACAGACTTAAGACACTGGAGGTAGGGGAACGAGGGCAAGTGCCAGGGGTAGGAGAGGCTGGGTGGGTGGGAGGTCAGTGGGGGGGGGGCCTAGGGGAGACATATGTACTAATATTTGTAATACCTTAAACTAGTGGTTGGCAAACTCATTAGTCAACAGAGCCAAATATCAACAGTACAACAATTGAAATTTCTTTTGAGAGCCACATTTTTTAAACTTCTTCTAACACCAATTCTTCAAAATAGACTCGCCCAGGCCATGGTATTTTGTGGAAGAGCCACATTTAAGGGGCCAAAGAGCCGCATATGGCTCTCGAGCCGCAGTTTGCCAACTACGGCCTTAAACAATAAAATTAAAAAGAAAAGAAAGAAAAATTAGTATATGCTATATGTAATAATTAGTATATATACTAAATTTTTAACTTAGGGCTGTTGGTGAAGATGAAAAGAGGGTGCCAAGCAGAACAAGAAAAAGGAAAGGACTATTGAAAAGAAACATCCTCTTTCCATAAGTATCATGTGTGATATGGCCACACTTATGTATTTATGTATAATTTTGTTTCTTTTTATACAGAATATTATAAAGATATTATAAAGAATTTATAGAGAATATTCTGCAGGGGGCTCTTGGCTCCGAATTCCTTCTTAAATGGACTAATATATGAGAATATTCCTACTTTTTGTATGGAACTTTTAAAATGAATAGCGAATATTTAAAGTGTGCTTTACTTAGCTATATTATACTAGAGGCCTGATGCATGAAATTCATGCAGGAGTAGGCCTTCCTTCCCCCAGCTGCCGGCACCTGGCACCTGGATTTCCCTCATAGTCCCGGCTTTGTCCAGAAAGTCATCCAGTCTAATTAGCATATTAAACTTTTATTATTAGAGATGCTTTCTGTTGTCAAAATATATTATGGTAATTTTAAAGTCAATAACTGACATTCAGATGCCTTGAATACAGAATACTTTAGCAAGAAGAGATGTAAGAGATCTGGTAATAGCAATAAGTATTGTGTAGACATTTCTGCTTTATTTAGCCCTCATAGGATTTGAGCAAATACAAAGCTATTAATAACATGGTGAAATCTAGCCCTCTCTGGTTTGGCTCAGTGGATAGAATGTCAGCCTATGGACTGAAGCAAACAGTGGTCTGTGGACACTGGTGGTCCGTGAGGTCTGAAAGGTTGGCAACTACTGGACTGAAGGGTCCCGGGTTTGATTCTGGTCAAGGGCACATGCCTGGGTTGTGGGCTTGATGCCAAGTAGGGGACGTGCAGGAGGCAGCCAATCAATGATTCTCATCATTGATGTTTATATCTCTATTTTCTTCTCCCTTCCTCTCTGAAATCAATAATGAGATATTTTAAAGAATAAATAAAAAACAAATAGTAAAGTCTAATTTAAAAATGGTTTATGTATCTAGAATTAAATGTCTTTCAGTTTCTATAATCAAAGTTCTAATTTTGACAGATCTCAGTATTGGGGAGTTCTACAAAACTGGATGGAACATCTAATTTTTAAATACATTTTCTTCTAGTATCTTTCTCTGAAGAAGAGAAATATCAGCTGCGAAAATTTGTCCATAAGTCTTATCTGCTGGACAAAAGAGCCCAACGTCAAGTGTACTACAGTCTGATTGATATCCTTCTGGCCTATTGCTATGACACTCGTGTCAATGAAGGAGAGAAGAACGTAAGTGCGTGTGTGCCTGTGCTTGTTGGCCTAGACTCCTGCACTGAGTAAGCTGTATTAGTACTTCACGCTCCTCATGGAGGAAGACCTGTGGTGATCACCACTTAGGGGTGCTTGAGGCAGAGTTGCATGTGTTTGTTGGTGGTGGGTATCAACATGGAAGCTTATTGCTTACTTGGTGTCTTTCTTTTCTCTCTTGGCATCAGTCTCTACACATATAGCAAAGGGGAGAAGTAAAATTGAGGTTAAGAAAAAGGATCTTTAGGAGATAAATTGCTCAAATAAGACACTTGACATTGGCAAGAGGCAAACTAGCAACCCGTTTATATTCTTTCTCTGAGCTGTTAATTAGCAGGTGCAAAGTATGGGAATCTTTTAAAGAAATCCTATATGTAAAAGGCTAATATTGCACATCGACTGAACGGCAGAATGACACTCAACGCAGGAGCTGCCCCTTGGTGATCAGTGTGCTCCCACAGGGCAGTGCCGCTTAGCCAGAAGCCAGGGCTCGCAGCTGGCATGTGTGGGAACTCCTATTGCCTCCGAGGAGTGCTAACAGTGGCCTACTAGAGCGGCCTAAGCCATCAGTTGGACATAGCCAAGGGCTCCTGGACTGCGAGAGAGTGTAGGCAGGGGTGAGGGACACCCCCCCACACACAAGTGGATGAATTTTGTGCGGAGGGCCTTAATCCTGTTCTAAAAGTAAATTCTTTGTGAAGTACATCAATATTCTTAAATTATACTCTTTTAAATTATGTAGATTTTGTAGCTCTCCTCAAACCACATTTGTTTATAAATAAAGAGCCAAACATTTTTCTCACCTCTACTTTTTTTTTTTCTTTTAATATATTTTAGTGATTTTTTACAGAGAGGAAGGGAGCAGGATAGAGAGTTAAAAACATCGATGATAGAGAAACATTGATTAGCTGCCTCCTGCACACTCCCGACTGGGGATGTGCCTGCAACCAATGTACATGCCCTGCCAGAATCGAACTTGGGACCCTTCAGTCCTCAGGCCCATATTCTATCCACAGAACCAAACCGGTTAGGGCCTCACCTCTACTTTTAAAAAATCTGGGAAACAGGAGGAGAAACCAAGATGGCGGCATAGGTAAATGCCTAACTGCAGCCTCACACAACAATTTCAAAAAACACAACTAAAATATAAATTGGACATTATCCAGAACTACAGGAAAGTTGACTGGAAATTCTACAACTAGAAGGAAAGAGAAAACCAGAAGGAAAATCAGAGGAGCTGTAAAAGCCTAAGGTATGGAGATACGGTGTGCGCGGGGAGAGAAAGGAGCCAGAGAGGAGGGGCGGCTGAGTGCCTGGATGGTGGTACCTAGCGGAAAGGAGATAAAAGCTCTGGACTGTGCTGAACCCCAGCTCCGACAGCGCTGAACCCCAGTTCTGGGTGAGACCCTGGGGACCCAGGCTCATATGGAGGGAGTCTGGGCTGTAAGGCGGACACTCAGGGGAGCAGTGAAAGGCAGTCCTGGAGGCACGCACATTATGCACAGAGAACAGTGTTGACTGTACCGCGGGATTGCCCTAGTGGGAAGGAGACGAAAAAGTTCCAGATTGCTCTGATCCCCCCTTCCAACCGCATTGAACCTAGTTCGAGACTCATTGAGGGAGAGCCTAGACTATTTGGTAGCAGGCGAAACTTGAGGGCACCTTTCTCTCAGAGGTGCTTGCAGCGAGTACTGAAGGATATTGAGGAACACTGAGACTCAGGAACCTCATAGGGCTGATGAGAAGCCAAGGCTGTAGCTTCCACCCTGAAACTCCGCCCCATCCAAGCTGAGAACAGAGGCTTTTACAATTTTCCAAATCTAGTAGAATAAGGTTGTCTCCTGGCAGACACAGCTGATCCTCACGGCAAGTTGGCTTGGAGGTCAGTTCCTCCCAGTGATACCAACAACAATCAAGACTTAAGTACAACAAGGCTGTATACACAGTCCATAAAAGGGGGCACATGAAGAGTGTCCACCTCAGGTAACTGGGAGACTGACCCACTGAACCATATAGGACGCCTTAGCACATAAAGCCACCCTACCTCCTCAGGGAAGCAGCGAAAATGCCAAGACAAAGAAACAGATCACAAATGAAAGAAATGGAGGACAAAAAGCGACTGGATATAGAGTTCAAAACCACTCTTATAAGGTTTTTCAAGAATTTCCTAGAAAAGGCCGATAAAATAAACGAGACCTATGAGCATATGATAAGGGATCAACTAGAAATATAAAGGGATCAACTAGAATTAAAAGGGATCAACTAGAAATAAAGAAAACTGTCTGAAATAAAAAATATTATACAGAGTCCTAAAAACCGAATGGAAGATTGCAAGAATGAAGTCAAAGATTTGGAACATAAAGAGCCAGAAGACACTCCTCCACAGAAGCAAGAAGACAAGAGAATCCAGAAAGTGGAAGATAATGTAAGAACTGTCCTCTGGGACAACCTCAAGCGAACCAATATCAGAATTTTGGGGGTCCCAGAAGAAGAGAGAGAGCAAAACACCGAAAACATACTGGAAGAAATAGTGACAGAAAACTTCTCTCACCTGGTTAAAGAATTAGACTTACAAGTCCAGGAAGCACACAGAACCCCAAACAAAAGGAGTCTAAAGAGGACCACAGCAAGACACATCATAATTAAAATTCCAAGAGCAAAAGACAAAGAATGTTAAAAGCAGCAAGAGAAAAGCAGGTAGTTACCTATAAAGGAGCACCCATACGACTGTCAGCTGATTTTTCAACAGAAACCATGCAGGCCAGATGGGAATGGCAAGAAATATTCAAGGTGATGAATAACAAGAACCTACAGCCAAAAATACTCTACTCAGCAAAGCTATCACTCAGAATCGAAGGCCAGATAAAGAGCTTCACAAATAAAAAAGAAGCTAAAGGAGTTCATTACTGCCAAACCAGAATTATGTGAATTGCTGAAGGGGGTTCTTTAGGAAGAGGAAGAAGATATAGATAAAAATTATGATCAACAAATACGTAACTATCAACAAGTGAATCTAAAAACCAAGGGAATTAAAAAATCTGCTGAACAATATTAACTGTTGAATATAATAGAATCAGAGGTATGGAAGGGGAGTGGACTGACAATTCTCGGAGAAAAGGGGGAGTGTGGGGGTGCGGGAAGAGACTGAACAAAAACTGTGCACCTATGAATGAGGACAATGGGGGGTGGGGAAAGGGCAGAGGGCGGGGTGGGAACCTGGTGAAGGGGAGCAATGGAGGGGGCAAAAATGAACATTTGTAATAAATAATATGAACAATAAAGATTTATTTTTTTAAAAATCTGGGAAACAACAAAAAGTCTTTCTGGTTAATGTGTCGTGCAGCTATTTTTGTTTATCCTTGCTCAAAGGGCTTTTCTTGAGCTGTGCACATGCTTTCTTAAAAATTTAAATACACAGCCAAAACTGGTTTGGCTCAATGGATAGAGCATCGGCTTGGGGACTGAAAGGTCCCGGGTTCGATTCCGGTCAAGGACATGTACCTTGGTTGCGGGCACATCCCCAGTAGGGGGTGTGCAAGAGGCAGCTGATCGATGACTCTCTCTCATCGATGTTTCTAACTATCTCTATCTCTCTCCCTTCCTCTCTGTAAAAAATCAATAAAATATATTTTTAAAAAAATGTAAATACACAAATACTATGTATCATTGTAAAGGGAAAAAAATCATTAAAATTTCCTGTAATCTGAGCCCCAGGAAAAGCCACTGTAAAAAGGTGATGTATCTCTTTCACTCTTTCATTGTGCACATGTATGTTTGCATGTATGTGTATATTGGGCCGTGATGTATGCATTATTTAATCTGCTGGTCTCAGTTAACATCATGGTTTTAGGTTTATAATTTTATATGTGCCAAGATTATTTATATTGTCATGATTCTGAAAATTTCAAAAGAGACTCTTGAGATTTTCATTTCACTCGAAAATGAATATAAATGATTGTATCCAGGGCCTAATATAACTGAAAATGGTTTTTGTTTACACTCATCTTTTTAAGATACAAAATTGGAGAAAATGTTTTCTTTGGCAAAAAAAGTGATTTATATTATTGCTTGAGATAAGTGTTTAACTTTACTCAATAAATTTATTCTTTATTCTTTTTGAAAAATATATCTTTATTGGTTTTTTTACAGAGAGGAAGGGAGAGGGGTAGAGAGTTAGAAACATTGATGAGAGACAAACATCGATCTGCTGCCTCCTGCACACCCCCCACTGAGGATGTGCCCGAAACCAAGGTACATGCCCTTAATCGGAATCAAACATGGGACCTTTCAGTCCATAGGCTGACGCTCTATCTACTGAGCCAAACAGGTTTCGGCTATTCTTTATTCTTGTATTTACATATTTGAAACGATGAGGTCTAGAACTTTAAACCCTCCTTTAGAATGTACTCGGTCTCACAAGCATTTTCTGAAGGCCAGGTTCTTGAGCAGCTTTTCTGTGTGTCAGACACACATTTCTATTATCTTTACGTCCATTGGTAGCAGGTTGGGAGGTGGTAACTTAGCTGAAAAGGACAGAAGTTGAGCAAGCACCACTTTCCTTTAATTTTACTTTCAAAACTGTGCTCATTTGCTCTTGGCTCCTAGGACTCTTCTCAGTGGGAAAGCTTTGCTTTGTAAAATCCAAATAGACAGAAACTTGTCTTTGATAGCACCTGCATTTAGTAAAGCAGTTATTATTATTATTATTTTTTTGCAATCATAGACACTTCTTAGTTTTTATATGTATGTCAACACTACTCACATGCTATTTGGATAAATGGATATTTGTTTTATATTACTTTATCTCTCATGTGACAGTATTCTTTTCTCTAAAACAAATAAAGGTTGAATCTGCGTGGAATATCAGAAAACTGAGTCCAACACTGTGCTGGTTTGAGGTATGATTTTTAATTACAATTATTTAGATTTGTTTGTCCAGAAATGTGGTGTTTTTTTTTGTTTGTTTGTTTTTAATTGTTATTAATTCAGTTTGGGTAATTCAAGCAATTCCTTGACTTTTTAAAAACAGAAGCTTTATTGTACAAGTTTACTTTTCATCTTTTTAATAAAATTCTGATTCCATTTGTTACTCTTATTCTAATTATAGTATACTAATGAATAGGTGGGGTATTTTGGAAGTCAGGAGAGGGAGAACACTCTTTGGAGAAAGAATGGGTATGTGGTCTGTTGGGGGAGACTGTGGGTGGAGTTGAGGCATGTTTGTGAGTTGCAATATATTGGGGCTCAGAGCTCAAAGATGGGAATCACACCGAGTGGTCCTACCTCTGGCTGTCACTGACCACCAGGAGCTGTGGAAGCATAGTACATGCATTCCCTCACTAACTCCTTCCCATAGTCTGTGAGAAGTACTATTTACATTTTACAGACCAGGAAACTTAGCACATGTAGCGTAACTAACTTCTCTTAGGTCCTAGAATTAGTAGTTAGAACTGATAAGTCTTTTAATATAGTGATACTTATTTTTACATATATTTTCTAGAAAATAGTTGTGTAGGTTTTATCGAAAATACCAATGGGTGATATCTTTAAATTTACCTGTTTTGGAAAATCTGTAATTAAGAGTAGAAGCTTTAAAAAGTGTCCCATTTAAATTTCCCCCAGTTAAAATTCCACATATAGTACATTTTAAGTTGTAAAATCAAAGTTGTTTCATGGCATCATTTGATTAAAGTAAAAGGTAAGTTGTAAACAGGAACTGAAACACTTACTTTATCACAGAATCTTGCTGCTCCCAGACTGGTCCGTGGACCAACAGCTTGACCAGCATCCTTGACTGGGAGCTTGCTAGCAGCACATAACATCAGTCCAGATACACTGAGTCAGAATCTGTAGCTAGATCTCCAGGATTTTATGTGTATACTAGAGGCCTGGTGCACAAATTTGTGTACCAGTGGGGTCCCTCAGCCTGGCCTGCAGGATCGAGCCAAAACCGCCTCTCTGAGATTCCCCAAGGGGTCCCAGATTGTGAGAGGGCACAGGCTAGGCTGAGGGACCCCATTGGTGCATGATCGGGGCCGGGGAAGGACACAGGAGGTTGGCCAGCTGAGGAGGGACAGCGGGAGGACTCCACAGCATGTCTGGCCCATCTTGGCAGTCCCAGTCAGCTGGACTCTAGCAGCAAGATAACATACCTGTCCGAGTGTCTTCCCCCTGGTGGTCAGTGCACGTCAAAAGGAGTGGTTGAGTGGCCTTAGCATATCATTAGCATATTATACTTTGATTGGTTGATTGACCAACCAGTTGACAGGACACAGCATATTAGGCTTTTATTATATAGGGTTAAATATAGAGAAGTGCTGTTCACTAGACTTCATTTAGGTTCTGCATATTGCCATTAACATATATTGGAGAAACTGGTTTTGTAATAATTGCATTCATTATGGAGTTGGTGATCAATTTTATAGTTTGGTTATTAAAGTCTACATGAATAACATCACCTATATGTGATTTTATTTTGAAATTTTTGTTTTTGAGAAAACTTGAAATTGCCAGATGTGTTAATAACCGTCAAACTTTTATAAGTATTCCATTTTTTTGCTAGAATTTTTTAAAAGTTCATAGCTCGCCCTAACCGGTTTGGGTCAGTGGATAGAGCTTCAGCCTTTGGACTGAAGGGCCCCTGGTTCGATTCCAGTCAAGGGCATGCACCTTGGTTGCAGGCACATCCCCAGTGGGGAGTGTGTAGGAGGCAGCTGATTGATGTTTCTCTCTCATCAATATTCTGGCTCTCTATCCCTTTCCTTTCCTCTCTGTAAAAAATCAAGAAAATATATATTTTTAAAAAAAGTTCATAGCTCTTTTTAGATACAAACTATTCTTTGTCAGATACTCAAAATTCTTAATCAGGTCTCCCATTTATTAAAGTTAATATACATGGAAATTATACTGCTCCCTTAGTGTTAATTTTATATTTTAGTTTTATATATGGGCAACATTGTTTATCAAAACTCATTTTAAGCCTGGCCAGTATAGTTCAGTGGTTGAGCATCAGCCTGTGAACAGGAGGTCATGGTTTGATTTCCAGGTTGTGGCCTCAATCCTTGGTAGGAGCATGTAGGAGGCTGATCAGTGACTCTTTCTCATTGATATTTCTAACCCTCCCTCTCCCTTCCTCTCTGAAATCAATGAAAACAAAACAAAGAAAAACACCTCAATTTGAAAACAGTTTGATAAAAAATTACCTTTGTCTAGTAATTTCAGTAAGTTTTCAATTGCTAATGGTTATCAGTTTAATACTATTTACAAAACACTTTTTTCTCCAGGAATTATTAGTTTTCTCTTTGATAATTAAAAATAAATTGCTGAAGTAAATATAAATACTTTGTATTATTTATGCCCAAAGTGAAAAAGAGAGAGACTGAACACACACCACTAAAAAGTTCTAAACCTTTCATCTCTACTCTCTGGGATGGTCCTGAAAGACGAAAGCATAAAATGTAGATTATTGAGAAAGGTCTTTTGTGTGCATGTGTGTTTGGTTTAGTCCCATATGTTTTAGATTCACATTTGTAATTCTTAAGAAACTTTTAAAAGCTTTCCTACTACATATGTGATTTTTAAAGAGCCTTTGTGATATGTTGATAAAATACAGAAATTACAAAGACTAATAAGATTAATTTATTATAAGGTGTACAAAAAACTCACTTTATGGTTTTATATTTCTCTTCTATTTGGCTTCACAATAATCCAAACTAAAAAATTTTTTTTTAAATCCTCACCCGTGGATATTTTTCCATGCTTTTTTTTTGGGGGGGGGGGGGGGAGCGAGTAGAAGAGAGAGGGAAAGACAGAGAGAAATATCAATGTGCGAGAAATACATAGATTGGTTGCCTCCTGTGTTTGCCCTGACCAGACCCCAGGCTGCGGAGGAGCCTGTAACTGAGGTCCATATTTAAAACAAGCTAAGTTCCACATTTAAATCACTTTGTAATTTTGTTTTTCATGGGTGCCTATAATTTCTAGGTACTATGCTAGAACTGTGGGGATAATAATAACTAATAAGGTCCCGAATTTGATGCCCTGACTGGAATTGAACCTGGGACCTGTTGGCACTCTATCCACTGATCCCCAGATCAGCTAGGGCCATACTTTTAATTTTTAATGGACAGTGTTTCATGATGTACTTTTGTTTGTGTAATATGGAATGTTTACTTATTTAACTGATACTTCATAGACTTGGACTAATGTTCATGACATCCTGGTGTCTTTTGGAAGAAGAGTTTTGTGCTACCCACTTTACCGCCATTTCAAGCTGGTGACAAAAGCCTGCAGAGACACTATAAAGATACTGCAACTAGGTGAGGTATTATTGTGCTTACAGAATTGAGAATAAAAAATTACAAGTTTTTAGTCTGAGGAAGTAATACTCTATTTTTCTATATATAAATAATGAAAATGATTCATCCAACCACTTTTCCTCCCAGGTATATGTAAAGTAATAGTCTCTTTATACAGATATATAATCAGATATATAATCAGATAAAAAGAGTGGGAAGGTAAATAAAGAAGGTACACATCGTATTCCAAACCACTTTGTATTCTAGTAGATTTCAACATTCAGTTTTTCTTGGGTGCTTACAATTTCTAGGTACTATGCTAGGACTGTAAGTATAAGCCTATCTAATAAACAGGGAATATGCTAATTGACCATCATGCCCTCACAAAGATGGCAGCACCCACAGCCACAGGATGGTAAGTCCCAGTCCCCTTAGTCCTGCTGGGGCAGCAGGGGCCTACCCCCAGGTGGGTCCGCCCATCCCATACACCTATTTCTGGAGTCTCCAAGTTTCTTTTCTTTTCTTTTCTTTTTTTTTTTAAATAAATCTTTATTATTCAGATTATTACAAATGTTCCTCTTTTTTTTCCCTCCATTGCTCCCCTCCACCAGGTTCCCACCCCACCCTCTGCCCTTTCCCCACCCCCATTGTCCTCATCCATAGGTGCACAGTTTTTGTTCAGTCTCTTCCCGAACCCCCCACTCCTCTTTCCCCCAAGAATCATCAGTTCACTCCCCTTCCATACCTCTAATTCTATTATAGTCACCAGTTAATATTGTTCATCAGATTTTTTAATTCCCTTGTTTTTTAGATTCACTTGTTGATAGTTATGTATTTGTTGTTCATAATTTTTATCTTTATTTTCTTTCTCTTCTGAAAGAACCCCCTTCAGCAATTCATATAATTCTGGTTTGGTGGTGATGAACTCCTTTAGCTTTTTTTTTATTTATTATTATTAGTGAAGCTCTTTATCTGGCCCTCGATTCTGAGTGATAACTTTGCTGGGTAGATTATTTTTGGCTGTAGGTTCTTGCTATTCATCACCTTGAATATTTCTTGCCATTCTCGTCTGGCCTGCATGGTTTCTGTTGAGAAATAAGCTGACAGTCGTATGGATGCTCCTTTATAGGTAACTACCTGCTTTTCTCTTGCTGCTTTTAATATTCTCTCTTTGTCTTTTGCTTTTGGAATTTTAATTATGATGTGTCTCGGTGTGGTCCTCTTTGAAATCCTTTTGTTTGGGGTCCTGTGTACTTCCTGGACTTGTAAGTCTTATTCTTTCACCAAGTGGGGGAAGTTTTCTGTCACAATTTCTTCCAATATATTTTCGGTATCTTGCTCTCTCTTCTTTTGGGACCCCCATAATTCTGATGTTGGTTCTCTTGAAGTTGTTCCAGAGGTTTCTTACACTATCTTCCACTTTCTGGATTCTCTTGTCTTCTTGCTTCCGTGGAGGAGTGTCCTCTGGCTCTTTGTGTTCCAAATCTTTGACTTGATTCTTGCAATCTTCCATTCGGTTTTTAGGACTCTGTATAATATTTTTTATTTCAGACAATGTATTCTTTATTTCTAGTTGATACCTTTTCATATCCTCATAGATCTTGGAAATTCTTGAAAAACCTTCTCACTGTGATTTTGAACTCAATGTCCAGTCTTTTACTTTTCTCCATTTCCTTTCTTTGTGTCCTACCTCTTCTCTGCATTTTAGCTATAATACTTCCCTGATTTGATGGAATAGTTTTGTATACTAGGTGTCCTGGCAGAGCCCAGTACCACAGCCTTCCCTATTACCTGAGGTGGACAGTTTTGGTGCAGCCCTTTGTGGGCTTTGTGTGCAGTCTTGTTGTTAAGCCTTGCTTGTTGTTGGTATCACTGGGAAGTCCCGCAGTTATGGCTGCTGGATACATGCACCTCTGAGAGAGCTTTGCCCACTGCCTGACAGTCCGGCCTCTCCCTAACTGGGGTTGTCTATCAGAGCCATAGGGCGGTTCTGTTTTCTTCCCGAACAAGAAAGCCAGCCGCATGTTAGCTGCCAGCCCTCTCCATGCACCGTGAGTAAGCCAGCAGCGAACTTGGTGGTTGCCTTTTCCGTGTGCACAGGTCTCCACACCTCCACATTTCCTGATGCTCAGCGTCCCTTTTCTTCCCTTCCTAGATGGTAGAGCTTCCACTCAGCCAGCCGTCTGATGTTTCAGGGTGATATTTCCTCTGATTTCCAGTTGTAAATTTAAAATTGTTGTGGTAGGCTGCATTTAGGTGTCTACCCTATGCCGCCATCTTGGTTTCTCCCCCAGAGTCCCCAAGTTTCCTCAGCTCCCCAGCTGCCCAGGCTGGTCTGAGATGCAAGCAAGCCTTGGATGGCGGCTGCCCAGCTGCTCAGGGCCACCCAAGGTTCAGGTAACCAGGGCCTGTTGAGGCTTGCGCTGCCAGCAGTGGCAGCAGCAGAGGTGTGATAAGGGTGTTGCCTTCCTCGGATTGCCAGGTTGGCACCTGCCCCTGAGGGCTCTCAGACTGCGAGAAGGGGACAGGCCAGCCTGAGGGACCCCCATCTAGTGCATGAATTTTTATGCACCAGGCCTCTAGTAATAAGTAAATTTCCTGTGTCTATGAAGTTTATAGTTTTACCTGGCTGACAGATGATAAATAATAAACATTTTCAGAATAGAGTGAAATGCACTTTGCTTGGGGAAGTACAGTGATTCAGTAGGAAGGGGACGTAGAATTGGGAGATAAGGAAAGGCTTCCAAAGAAAAGCACATCTACTCTGAGGACTGTTTTTTGTTGTTAACTTTTCCCCCCTATTGATCTTAGAATAAGGGAGGGAGGAATAAACAGAGAGAGAGAAAGAGAGGGGGGGAGGGTATTGATTGCCTCCCTCACAAGCCCCAACTGGGCAGGATCAAACCTGAAACTGAGGTACACATTCTGTGAAAATAGGATGAATAAAACTTAAAATGAAAGCAAGGTTTTTAAAGAGTATATAAATTTCCTTTTCAAAACTATTTCATAAATTTTTAAAAACACCTGATCAAAATATTGCTTCTCAGTTGTTCAAAAATGCATGTTAAAGAAAATGTTCAATTATGAATTTAAATGTTTAGCTTTTTTTTTATCAGTATTTTAAGGCTTAGTTATATAGTCTGTTTTTTTTGAACAAATAAATGTTCATTGTGGAGAATTTTGAAAATAGGAGAAATGCAAAGAAGAAATAACAACTGTATTCTTCATATATAAAGTAATGCCAAGCACACGTTACATATTTGTTCAATGTCTGTAGAGACAAACATATATATATATATAATATATGTATATATTGTCTATATACATATTTAAAACTTTTCCCCCATATGTATTTATCTTTTTAAAACAAAATAGGGATAAAAATATGCAAATACAATGTAACTTCTCTTTAAATTAAAAATATGGAATACTTTAGACATTTCTTTTATTATTCTTTTATGATAATAAGTTTGCCTGTTAGCACTTGGCAAGGAGGCAACCTTGCTTTTGTCATGACTGTTAAATGAAGCTATATAATTTCATTAGGTGATGTTGCTATGGATTTTCATTTGTGGCCTTACTTCCATAACTTTCTTGTTAAAATCTCTGGAGTAGTGTTTTATTCCTACTGTAGACACCTCATTTAGACCTCTCACCACAGGACTGTTTGGTTGCATTAGTCTCCTCCTTGTCACAGTCTGACTTCTACCAAACTCACCTATTTACTCCCCTGTTTCCCTACTGGAGCTATCTGCTCTAAGTAAATATTTTTTTTTCCCTGTTATTCTCTGAATTACCCCATTTTAAGTCCACATCTACTCCTTTCTATGCCGCCCACAAGGCTGGCATACCTACCTTTTCTTCATGCACTGTATGATTTGCAGCTTCAGACCCTGCATTGTCTGCAGCCTGGCATTGTCAGGGAGCTATGTGATCACGAGAGGCAGTATCCGGGGTGTCACACTGTGGAGGCACTTAGACAAGTTTCAGGTGAAGCGTTTTAGAGGTTTTTTGGTAAAGGCTTATTGTTGACTTTTAAAATGTTAAGTTGGTAGTTATAAAAATCAACGTCTTTCCCTGAACCTCATACCCTAGAAGGGAGAGATTGGCATATGCTCTGCCTGTGTTTTCTTCTTTATGACAATTAAAACTATTCAAAAAATTCTTATAGTTTAGTTAGTTCTTCCAGGAATGTTTCTATTTGGATAATATGGCTAATTTGGTTTCCTTGCTTCTGTGAGTTTTGATTGTTCTGTGAGTCCTCACTTAATGTAATCAGTAGGCTCTGTGACTTGAAGTGAAAAACAGAAGAAAACCAGTTTTACCACAGGTTACTTGATATGGACAAGTGTTCAGATCATACACAGTTGCAATGAAATGAAGTGGAATAAAAGTTATTTAAGAACCTGCTGTATTTCCTCCTCCTGTCATAAAATTCTCCCTTCAACATTACCTTCTTTTAATTAAAATTGGCCTGTAGGGTGTATAGGATAATCTACACTAATCCTATCCAGTAAAAGAGTAACATACAAATTAACCATCACCCCGCTACACACAAGCCATGCCTACCAACCAATCAGGAGTGAGTATGCAAATTAACCCAACCAAGAAGATTGTGGGCACAGAGAGAGCAGGATGGAGTCTTAGGTTTCCCTAGTGATGGAGGAAGCCAAGCTTTCCGCCTGCCCTAGCCGGCCCAGGCCTCCACTTAAGGCTGCAAAGTTTCAATTGTAGAAGAAAGCATCTGTGGAGCTGGAGAGAGCAAGAGACTAGGGTTGCCCCCAGCAATGGAGGAAGCTAGTCTTCTGCAGCCCTGGCCTACTTTGGCCTCTGCTTAAGGTTACAAGTTTCAGAAATGACTGCCACCATAGAGTGAGCAGAAGGCTTGGCTCTGCTTTAGGCTACAAAATTTCAATTGTAGAAGAGAAATAAATCCCAGATATCAGGGCCTCCGATTGGGTCGCTGGGGTGCGTGGCCGGCCTGCAAACCGCCACAGGCCCCTTGCCCAGGCGGCTCCACG